ATGCTATTAAGTAGTAAAAAGACTATAAAAGATATTTAATAAGTATTTACCAATAACATAGGCAGAATTTGTTACAAATATTTTTAAATTTTAACTTAAATTAATTAATTTAAATTTATTAGAAAAAATTATTATTAAAATTATCTTAATAGATAAATTTGTTAAATAAGAATATATTTTATAATAAATTAATTTTTTTATAATTTTATATGAATTTTTGAAATTTTAAATTTTTTAAAATTAATTTTACAAAACAAAAAATAAAATAATTTTAATAGTTATTTAATAATAATAAAAAACATTTAATAATTTTATTATAATAAAAATTTATTTTCTAAATAGAATTTATATATAAATTTATATAAAATAAATTACTAATTAAATATTCATAAAACTTTAATATATTATTTTTTTTATTACGTATATATTAAAAGTTTTATTTAATTTAAATTATTATTCATCAAATTATAAGAAAAATTCAATTCTGGTTTTTTTGGACTGGGTTAAACTGTATATTTAAAATATTAGAAATTTTAACTATCGGTTTAAAAATTAAAGACGCGTAACAACTATAAATTTTCTTTATTTCAAAAAAAAGAATTATATTTTAAATAATGATTGTGTATAGGTATGAAGAAAGGCTACTGTTGTTTACACATATTCACGTGACCAAAATTTGGCACCTTGATAGTCGGTTGGCGTCTTTTTATGTTTTCATCCTTGGAACTCCTGCAGCACTTTCTGTGAATAGAAAAGAATATCTTTAGAACTTATCAGTACACAAGACGCGTGTAAGAGTTAGACATAAATGTCAAGTACCTCTAAAACAGTTTCAATGTGTCTCCGTTCGATTGCGTTGCCATCGCCTGCTTCCTCGTTAGCTTCTTTGGCTAAGCGTTGAAGGAATAAAATACATTCGAGACAAAGCTACAGAAATTGGTACAAGCCGACGGAGCAAGAACAATGAGTTAACGAATTGGAAAACAACCGATTAAAGCGATGATTTACGAACCATAACGTCAACATTCTTGCTTAGTGCTTTATTGTAATGAAATTTAATAATTTTTTTAAGTGTTGCTCGGGGAAAATTAATGGCCATTATATCAAATTCTTTTTTACGTGTCAACGTGAGTAACATTGCAAAATTATTTGTTTTGATTTTATGTTCTGAATATCCAATCATCGCCAGCCAATCGACATGAAGATAAAATTGGAAATAGAAAATATAATATAGGATCTTACTATCTTTTATTACTGAAAGGGATTTTTACATGACGAACACGAATGCACATCGTGACCGTGATAAATTTGTTTGTCAAACAAATTTTGTTTCGGAAAAATACTAATGCCAACAAAGGATTAATTACATAGATTATTATGAAGGAACAAGCGCAGAAAATAGACGAAGGACAATTTAACCTTACACATAGGTTTCTCTAATCCGAAGATATTAGGATAATTTCATCGGAATCTGTGATTTTTCTTTTCTTTTTATCACGCCCCTTCACCGGCGCTAATGCAGATGACATTTTATTCTCATCACAAACTTCGTTCTTAGATCTTTTCTGCCCTGGATCAATATTTTCACTTCGTGAAGATTTCCACCTGCTCCACCATTTCTTTAGGTCTGCTTTTGTCAGAGTCTTTTTAGTGACAAGAGATACCTCACTTTCGGTAGAATCATTAGTACCAGCAATATTGCTATTCTTACTGTCATCAATTTTATTTTTGACTTCAAGCGATTTTTTGCAGTCTTTCTGCTTTTTGCTATTACATCCTACCGCACTATTCGGATCAACATCGGTGATATTACTTATTGAGCTATGAGTAGTTGCTTCGGTAAGGATATTGTTATGAATGGATGGTGAACAAACATTGCTTGAGATAGGCAGTGTAAGATTTTTTGGCATAATAGAGGGTGAAGGTAGCGGCAGTGATAATCCAGGTAAAATCTCGCGTTTTACGGGTAATTCCTGCGAAGTTTTTAGAATATCTCTATCAACTAACCAAGACTTTGAACGGTAATGTAGATGAATCACGGCCAATGGCTGGTTGGATATCTGTTTCAAGACAGATTCTAAAGGAGTGGGGGTGGGAATAGATATCTCGTCGAAAGAAGTGGCGAACCGAAACTCTAAATTTAGATCTTTCGTTTCCTCGGGGATTGCCGGTCGTTTAATGTCATATTCTATCGGTTTGATTCTTTGATAATAATGATCCGCCCGATAGAAACACACAGAAATGGATCCGAGGCCTCCTATTTTTGGAATTTGAAATTCTGTATCGTCGAATTCATTTTTACCGACATCATCGCTTTTCTCGTTCTCTCCCCAACTCATGACGTCGAACTTGAAGCCGTACTTCACATTTTTAGTTACGTGGGTAAATCCATCTTTAACCTGAATTCTTTCCTCATGCTTGATGATAGGAACGTAAGTATAATCATATCGACCGTCGACATAAACCATGGCCATGATCGGACCAGGCAAAGTCGAATTAACGGGAACTTCATAACGTATTTTAAAGTGGGCCCCCGGGTCTACAACTACTGCATAATGCGTTAGATCGCTGTTGTAAATCATGGTTAATAGCTAGTTCCCATGTCTCTTTATAATGGACAATTTACATCATTATTACAATACCTTTCTGTCTTTCGCATGGTTAGTTCATTATAAACATACGAAGGACCTGTGGTCATCTAATTTATAATAAAGAACACGTCATTATATGGATTTCACTAATGCGAAATGTCACGTTCCTTTGATTCAACATTCTAAAGAATTGCATAATGGAAAGCTTATTTACAGGTTTTTCTTTTTCGATGTATTCGGAGCATTCTTCGAGAGGTCTGTCATTGACCAAAATTTCCACCTTGTAACCCGAGAATAACATGTTCTTTTGGGGAAGGAAATTTAAGGGGTTTCGAAATTATGTAGTAATACAACTGTAGATTGTGTAAGGATCGATCAGATCGAAAATTACGAGGGACACTTTTCTGGTGTCTTTATATGTAGTTCGGCGATTTAATTGTGTGTAAATAACACACGACTTTTGTACAACGGTACTGTCAGCACGAGTGACGTAAGTGAATCATGTGAATCATATAAATCATGTGCCCACATATTCGTAATTTAGCTCTGGGGGATTGAATTTATTTATTTCAATACCAAGATCCGTTCTACATACGCATAAGAAACCAAAATTTAATTGACACTAATGAAATCGAAAAATTCTTCCCAGGATCCAGTACCCTTCCAAGGTTCGACACCCTTCCAAGATTCTGTGCCTTTTCCTCCCAACGCTTCCTGGTCGATAATTTGTCGTTGGAATGTCCTAATCTCATTGATCTCATTGATCCGAAGATCTCGTTCTTCACGGATTTCCTAGAATATTGATCAAGGATTGTATTAGAACGACATCGTCCAATTAAGGCAAACGAATTACGAATATCGTAATTACATTAAGCTCCAGTTGCAAGCTCGCGATATCCTCCGCCATAATCTCGACCATAATATCGTGAAATTTTTTTACATTCTCCAACTCTTGCTCATAGTATTTGACAACTTTTGCGATCCTACGTTTATGATACACTTGAGTTTCCGCAACCTTTTCCTCTAAATGTTTAATTATTTTTATTTTGGTTATCCCACCACCACCTGCTTTGATTGCTTTCTTTCCGTGTATTGAGGTTCCAAATACCGATGACATCATAACGACGAGAATAAATACAAAAGTTCCGATCCAAGTGGTTGGCTTTTTTGGTGGAGGAATGTGTTCATTGAAAACTGGATCAAGATAAGGGATCGGGTAGACCACACCACAAAAATAGACCCAAACTAGAAAATGACAAATATAGGAACATGATTCAACAAAGAATGTAGGTATCAAGTAGTTTTTGATCAAAGAAAAGAGGATGTGCATTTTTTCCTGTCAGGATGTATATATGTTACTTTATGTCAAAGAAAAAATTATTTATTGTCTGAACGCGTTCGTGTATGTCCACCAATAGCAGTTAAGATTACTGAATTTGGAAATCGAACACGATCGTCAAGATCATCACGATATACCAGATCATGCCCTGCATGTAGTTGATAGGACCTAGTTTATACCTCAATTTAGGGCTCCCGTAGGTTTCATTGAATATGTCTTTGATTGACGATTTCATTGAAAATTCGAATGATTTCATAGCACCTTCATATGCTGGAAATGGAAGCAGCTTTTTTTCAGAATCGGATGGCTTCGAGCCCTCAGATCCAGTTCATATGGTAAAATTCAATTCTCGCATTTCACCTGGGTTTTAAGTTTCCAGAGATTACCAGCTGAATTATTACCTTCTTTCCCAGTTGGAAACAGGGTTTGTCAGTGCTGGGCTGGCCGAAGACGATTCTCGTATTTTTACTTTAGATCGTGTTCAGTTCCAGTTCCCTGCTCCTTTGTTAGCTATGGCAGTATCAAATGAAATTCTTATAATGGCACTGGAGAACAACCACATTTTAAGAATTGATTTGCAACAAGCACACGACGTCGAAGGTAAATCACCAATTTCGTAGTCGAAACTAACCTTAATCTGAATTTTTATTTTCCATTGTCATCGTGTGTTTAAGGTTCATTCACCTGACTTGTTTTATTTTATATAACTTCAAAATTCACTTTTTTATTACAAAAATTTTTTTTTTTTAAAAAAAAAATGTAATGAAATAAAAAAAATTCTATCGGTTTATCAATTCTATACCAATGATGCTTGCCAGACATTGAGATCCCACGTAAATCTGGGGAAATTAAAATTTATAAGATATTCTTTGACCCCACCGGTCGACATTTACTCATTACTACCGAGCAAGGGGAGAATTTTTATATATTCGAGAAATGGAAGAGGGCTAAAGTACTCACCAAGTTTAAGGTATATCTCATGATTCTTAATCACTCCCTCATGAAGCGGTGAACTCGAATATTTAATATATTTATTTCCCGATCCAGGGTATAATAATTGAGTCTGTGGGCTGGAATAAATCTGCCGGATCTTCATCTGACACCTCAACCAAAAAGATTCTCGTTGGAAGTCGTAATGGTATAATTTATGAAGCTGAGATAGAGCCAACAGATGAATATTTTAAAAAAGAAGAGAAATTCTGTAAACAGGTTTCACTGTGATTTATTTATTACTTTATTCCTCAGCTTTACTGCAACGTTTGTATGTGTGCTTATGTTTATATTCCTTATTTTAATAGGTCTACTCTTTAAATGAGAACCTTCCCGTCACCGGTCTTCGTATCGAACAATTTCCGGCTAGTCCGAGAAAATATCTAATAGTGGCAGCAACTCCTACAAGAATATACCAATTTATAGGCAATGCCAATTCGACAGCGGATTTGGATGGCAGTTCTGTATTTGAAAATTTGTTATCTAGATATGAGTCGAGTCCAGGTATTATTGCGTTTAACAAGGATGACATGTAAAAAGAGATAATTTTTTTTCTCAGTTTATTATTCTTTTATGCAAGTGCAGATTTTCAAGAGCTTCCCGGAAATTTGCCGTACAGTGAATTACATTTTTTTTCACAATATCAAGATTTGCACTATCAAGGAGTAGCAAAAAATTTTGCATGGTTAACCGGTAGGTTTCACGTTCTAAAAGGATGTTCCAAGTATCAACCTAATGATGATAATTCTTTTTTCCGCGTGATGGCTTGATAGGTCCTGGAATTTATCACGGTAATCTTGTGTTTGGATCTCAAGATTTCGGTGATCATGTTATTGACAGCGCCCAACTATTCCCGTACGTATTTCGGCATATCTGTGTCTCAAATTTATCTAGGAGAAAACTAGTCTTATAATTTATCTTGTCGTTAAGGTACCCTGCTACACCGTCAGAAACTGACCCTTCTACTTTGGTATCAGAGATCCCATTATCTATAGCTCTCACGGAATTTCATTTCATTTTACTATATAAGGAACGTGTTAGAGCAATTTGTCAGTTAAATGATCAAATAGTCTTTGAGGATAACATCCCGCTGGTATGCATAATTCCCAATGAACGTTTCTTTGTTGCATGGATTTTTTATTTATTTGTGCAATATTCTGTAGAAACCCGGAGAGACCGTTCGGACGATGACAGTGGATAATATAAAGAGCACTTATTGGATTTATACCGATTGTTCAATATTTGAACTTATAGTCACAAGGGAAGATAGAGATGTGTGGAAGCTATATTTGGAAAAGCAACAGTTTGATAATGCCTTACAATATTGCATGGTACCCACATAATAAGACTCGAATTTTTATTCATGTGGTGACAAACATTTTTAAATTTTTTTATTTGAATTTCGATAATATTAAGAACGCGGCTCAACGTGACAAGGTTCTTACTACCCAGGCCGATTATTACTTTTCTCAAGGTCGTTTCCTTTTATCTGCCAACTATTATGCGCAATCTATTGTACCGTTTGAAGAGGTTTCACTTAAATTCGTCGAGCGAGACGAAAGGGATGCGTTGAGAACTTATTTGCTAAAAAAACTGGAAAAGCTTAGACGTCAGGTAGTATGTTCGAAGATATCTTGTCGATGACAAGTTAACTGCTTATATAACACTAAATAAGCAACCATTATACAATGATTCTTATTAGGATTTGACGCAAAAAACAATGATAGCAACGTGGCTTGTTGAGATATATATTAGTAAAATAAATACAATCGAGGATTTGGCTGCATCAAGCGCCAGTTCTGAAGACACCAGTAATTATAAGGCGGAACAAAGAGTGCTGGAAAATGAGTTCAAAGAATTCCTTGATCAATTTAAGGTAACAATAGTTTTAATTTACCTGGAAATTTCTATATTTCTTATGGATATCCGCATTTGTACAATATGCTTATGATCATGATTAAAATCCAAGGGCAATCTAGACAAGCGAACAACGTATAATCTTATCGCGAGTCATGGGCGTACCGATGAGCTTTTGTATTATGCTACTCTGATTGGTGATCACGATAAAGTTATTTCACACTGGATTCAAGAAAGGAATTATAAGCAAGCTTTGGACGTGCTTAGCAAACAAGTAATATCTCGATATTATTCTTCAATAATAATAGATTATATGAATTATTATTAACATTTAGTAATTACACTTTATTCAGGCGTCTGTTGATGTGTTCTATAAATTTGCTCCTGTCTTAATGGAGAATGCGCCGTATGAGACAGTTGATGTTTGGATGCGACAGACAAACCTCAATCCTAGGAATTTAATGCCGGCATTATTAAAATATGATCATTCGAATGCACCCGAAAATATCGTTCAAGTTAGCAATACTTTTATAATTATTATCTTAAGTATGCGATAACAATATGTTTCTAACAAATGATGTATTTGATCTATAAAGAACCAAGCAATAAGATATTTGCAATATGTGGTACAAAAACTCAAAAACACTGACCCCGCAATTCACAACTTTCTCCTCACCCTATACGCTACTCAACCCACTACTGATGAATCTGATTTGCTAAAGTTTTTAGCAATAGAAGTAAGAAATTTATTCTGGGATGACAACTGAGACTCTTATAACATGTTTAACATGTCAATCTTTAAATTAAGGGAAAAGAACCTCATTATAATATGGACTACGCGTTAAGACTTTGTAGTCAACATAAAAGAATGCAAAGTTGTGTACATATTTACAGCAATATGGGATTATTTGAAGAAGCTGTTGATTTAGCATTGAAGGTATTCAATAATCAATAATATATCAGAATATAATTTTCCTACGGCTCTGACGTCTTATTTTGTATTTCCAGCAAAATGATTTGGAACTTGCGAGAATCAATGCTGATAAGCCAGAAGACGACGAAACACTGCGAAAAAAGTTGTGGCTGAAAATTGCACGACATGTTGTTGAAAAAAAACAAGACATAAAAACGTAAGTTTTTGTAAGTTTTGTTGATTTTTGACGTCTGACAAATCCTGCATCGATTATTCATACTTATTTGTTTATTTAGTGCAATGGACTATCTGCAATTATGTGAGCTGCTCAAGATTGAAGACATTTTGCCATTCTTTCCCGATTTCGTCCTCATCGATGACTTCAAGGTACCTTATCATTCACATGATTAGTCTACGTGCGTTCTTATTAGGTACAATCTAATTTCTTTATTTATAGAGTGAGATTTGCCAAGCTTTGGAGGGGTATAACAAAAACATCGAAGAATTAAAGGAAGAAATGGAAGAAGCGACCAAAAGTGCCGAAAGCATTCGCTCTGATATAAGAGAGCTGCGATGTCGGTTAGTCGATTTGTTCTTTTATTGCTATATATAGCATTGACCTTACGTATTTTTGAATAAATAAAATATGAACTTACTATTTAATAATTTTCAATAGCTTTGCGATCGTCACTTCTGAGGAAAAATGTGCGATATGTGATTTTCCACTTTTGACAAGACAATTTTATATATTTCCTTGTCAACATGCTTTCCATGCCGATTGTCTAATTAAGCAAGTATGTTGAACAAAGCTTATCTTTTTAAAAAAATTAAGAAAAACGTATTAAAATTGCGATTCTTTTAGGTTACCAAGAGTCTTAACACATCTCAACTTCGTGGAATACTTGAACTCCAAAAACAAATTGAGAAGGAATTGTCTAATATGAATCATTCGCCTGATAACGCAGCACGCGCACGACCGCCCGCACAAGGTGGATTTGATCGATTAAAAGGATTGATATTACCCGAGGCGACAACTCATAGTGGTGATGATGTTGCTGTGGTAGTCCCAAAATTAGATCAACTGAAGGTATATTAAAAAGGCGTTTTCTTATTTTTTTTACTTGCATATTCAATAATTTAAAAAATTTTAGTATTAATTGTTACTACCTATTTATCATTAAAGGATGAGTTGGATGATTTGGTGGCATCGGAATGTGTGTTATGCGGTGAATTGATGATCAAAAATATTGAAAGACCTTTTATTAACGAAGACGAAAATGATTTACTTGCATCATGGGCAATTTAAATTTTGAACAATGTATATTAAGGATAGAATAATGTATAATTTATTACGAATATATATATTCAATATAAGTGGTGTGTTTACTCGACATTAGAGAATGTTTATTATTAAAATATAAAAATTTATGGGATCAATTACCAATTTTATGGTAACAAAAAAATGTATAAAAATGTATATTCTTCATAAGTGAAAAAGCAATATATGGTTTTATTATACTGTACAGGGAGTCAAGAAAAAATTGAGTTTTAAATGCTGTGAAAGCAAAAGTAATTAATATATATATTTCTTTATCTTTTACTTTTAAACAAAATATTTAAAAAGTAATAGAAAAGTTTTAAATAAAAAATAAAACAAGTTTGTATAAAATATAATTATTGTGAGGGACCAACATGAGGTATGATCCAACGTAAGGTAATCATGTGACCTAATTAAAAAGCAATATTGTATAGATATC